CCCCCCGGTGGCGCACACAGAGGACCACGTACGTGTGGCGGGAGCCGCGGCTGTGCCACGGGGGGCAGCGGCGGCCCCCCCCCGGGCAGGGCGGTGACATCGCGCCCCCGCTGTCCCCGCCGTCCCCGCACTCCCCCCTACCTGCACGCCGCCCTGGCACGCGCCCACGATGGCACGGAAATGGTTGGCGGAGCAGCGCGGGCAGCCCTCGGCCGTCGCCCACAGGAGGTGGAAAACGCAGCCATCGCAGGTGCCTTCGGGGCATTTGCTGTGTGGGGACACGCGGGTAGAGGGGTGGCTGTCCCCAAAGTGGAGTCCACAAACGTGCCGCCGCCCTCCCCGAGGCATTACGTTTAGGGACGCGGTGGCGGCCGTCCCCAAAGCGAGGTCCTCGGGGACGGCACGCTTTCTGCGCTCGTGCACGGGGACGCCTGGAGACAGGGGACGCCCGGGGGCCGTGAGGGCGCCGCCGTTCCCCCGCCGCGGGACCCACCTGGGCACAGCCAGGCCGCCGGTGCCGGGCCGCAGCGGGTCGCAGCGTAGGCGGATGGTGGTGGCCCGGCCCCCGGCGCAGGACTGCGTCACCTCGCTGGACCTGCGGCGGCCAAAGGGAGTTCAGCGCATCCCCGGGGTTCCCGCTCCGCCCCGCGTCCCACCCCAACCTCAGCCCACCTGAAGAAGAAAACGATGTCGGGCAGCTCGGGGCCGGCGGGGGGGAACAGCTCGGGGGGCGCGGCGACGCCGTCCAGCGCGGAGCTCACGGTGACGCCTGCGGTGGCGCTCAGGTGACGCGGGGGGACTCGGCACCCGCGGAGCGCCGGGACACGGAGGGGTTTGGGGCTCACCCAGCAGGCGGTCCGCCAGGCTGACGGGCTGCGAGGACACGGCGGCGCGGTGGCCGACGACATCAGACGGCACCACGATGGCCTGGCACACGTGGGACGTCACCACCCGGCCGGAGCCGCCCTCGTCGGGGAGCCGCGCGTCCGTCACGTTGTCCGTGCACGAGGCGGCCTTCCTGCCCTGCCGGCGGCACCGCGTCGGGGGGTGCGCAGCACTGCGCGTGTGTGAGTGTGAGCGCTGCCGAGTGTGAGTGTGAGTGAGAGGGTGAGTGTGAGTGTGAGAGTGTGAGAGTGAGAGTGAGTGCTGCTGCATCTGTGTGCATGGTGCTGCCAGCCCTTTGTGCAAGGACACGACACACGTGTGTTTGCACGACTGCACATCAGGCTCTATGGGCGCACACTTGTTTGCACGCACGTTTCCACCACTCCATGTGAGTGGACACAAGCGCTCGCCCAGCTGTGCACTCACACGTGGGTTTTACTGTGAGCTGTTTGCATGGCTGCATGCAAGATGCACGGGTGGCCATGAATGTGTGGCCGTGGGTTTGCACAACCACGTGTGTTTGCATGGCTGCACAGCCACGTGTTTGCACGGCTACACGCTCCGTGCCCCCCCCCTACTCACGTGGTTGCCGCAGAGGCTGATGTTGAAGTGATGGAAGTATTTGAGGCCTTTGGAGGTGAAGCTGGGGCCGCTGGTGAAGGCGGTGCTGGCAGACAGAGCTGAGAAGTCGTAGTGCAGCGTGCGGCCGGGCAGCGCCAGGGAGAAGGTGCAGTCACTGTAGCAGAGGGAGCGGATCTGCCCAGAGCGGGGGGCTGCTGTCACCCAACGGGGTCCCATCGTGCCACCCAGCCAGGGTGTTGTCACCCACGGGGACGTGCGGGGGGCTGCAGGGCGTCACCCATGTTGGACGCTCAGGGACAGCTGTCACCCATCAGGAGACGGTGCCACCCGTGTGGGATGTCAGAGGTTGGTGCCACCCCAGCAGGGACAGCCAGGTGCCGTGTCCCCACTCCGCTCCCCACAACGCCACCCATCAGGGATGCCCGACAGCCCCCCTTAACCCCAGGAACGTGGGGATGCTCACCTGGTTGCTGCGGGTGCCGGGGCCACAGGGTTGGCAGGCGGGGGGGCCGTCAGGTGGGCGTCCCCGCAGGAAGGTGCCGGGGGGACAGGGCTGGCAGGAGCCGGTGCTGTGGTCCAGGGTGTGCCCGGGGGGGCAGGGGGCACAGGGCCCCCCAGCGCTGGCACAGCGGCGGCAGAAGGAAGCCACCCCCCCCAGCACGTTGGTGACGTTGACGGAGTAGAGCTTGGCCACATCACTGGTGTAACGCCGGCCCTGGAGAGGCGGTCAGCATCATCCGGTGCTGGGGGGGGGGGGGGGTGTGACACTGCTGTCCCCATCCCTGTGCCCCCACTCACCGCCTCGCGGTACCGCGTGCGCTGGAAGGCCCACGTGAAGCTGGTGGTGGCGTTTTTCTCCACCACGTAAGTGTAGGACTGCTTCCCCCGGGGCCCCGTCCACGTCTCCACCGGCGTGTTGGTGCGTGAGTTGATGCCCTGTGAGGGACGGCAGGGGGAACATTCCTCGATGCCCCCCCCCCCCCGGCCACCCCCCCCCCCGCCACCACTCACCACCATGAAGTACAGCTCACAGCTGACGCTGCAGACCGTCTCGAAGACAAAGGTGATCCGCGCCACCTCCTTGCCGTCCCCATCCTCCAGCGCCGACTGTGGGGGGCTGGGGACACGGGGACGGTGGGGACACGGCTGCAGGGGTGGCACCGCCTCCCCATGGACGCGGCAGGCGCTCACCTGAAGCCGGGCACCAGCAGCGTCAGGATCATGAAGTCGTTGTCAGAGGCTCCCGCCGCTGTGTAGATGTAATCCCCGGCCACCTCCCAGCCTGCAGGGACACGGGGACAGCTCGGTGACATCCCCTGCGCCGCGGGGACGGGGAGGGGACGGCGTGGCGGTACCTGCCATCCCCTTGTACTCGAAGTTGACGCCGCTGAGCACGGTGGTCTCCATGTTCGGGGGCAGCACGTTCCACCACTTGTACTCCAGCCCCAGCACCGGCTCGGTGCCGGCTGGGCAGTGAATGCAGCCTGGGGACAGCGGGGACATCAGAGAAGACACCCACAGGACCTCGGGTGCCCACCTCCCAACGGGGTCCTCCTTACCAGAGCCATTGGAGTAGGAGCCGTAAGGACAGGGCTCACAGGAGCTGCTGTTGCTTTTGTAGAAGCCGGGGTTGCAGGGGGGGCAGCGGGTCTTCAGCCCCGAGGGGGGCAGCTGGGCAGCGTGGGGCAGCACTTCGCTGCAGATCTTTGGCTCTGCCCACTTGAACATCAGCTGCGTCTGTGCAGGGACACGGGGTGAGCAGCGCCGGGATGGGGACATGGGGGCAGCACAGTGGGTGGGGAACCAGCGCAGCTGGAGGTGGGGAGGGGGGGGGAGGGGGTCCATACCTCCCCGTTGGCATCGCATGCCGTGTGTGTGTAGAAATAATCCTTGTCAGTGCAGGGCGGGCGCACCTTGCAGGATGCTGAGCCGGGCTCTGCGAGCGGTGGTGGCAGTGAGGTCTCCAGGTGGCACCCAGGGGTGTCCCCACAGCCCCAGTCGGAGCATCCCGGGCTGCAGGGTCGGGGTGTCCCCCCTTTTCTTCTCACCTGCATAGGCGGTGGGCTCGCAGGGCTGGCAGGCAGTGGCCCCTTTGCTGGAGAAGCTGTTGGCGGGGCACAGCTGGCAGGAGGAGGAGCCGGCGGCGGCGGCGAAGGTGCCGGGTTTGCAGGGGAAGCACTCGGAGGTGTAGGCGACCCCTGGCAGCGGGACGGCGCTCAGGGGTGGGGGGCTGTGGGGACCCCAACCCTGCGCCCACCCACCTACCTGTGATCCCGATGTTCCGCACCAGCACGGGCTTGGGGACCTTGGACCAGACGGAGAACGCCGTGGTCCTCCAGTAGAGCACGTTGTTACCACGGCTCAGCTCCACCTGCACGGCACAGGGGGGTCCCAGGGAGGGGTCAGCACCCACCGCTGTGCACCACCACCCTCCCCTCTGCGCCCTCAGAGTGCAGCTCCTTGTGCCGGGGCGAGAAATGGCCCAGAGGGGGATGAGGGAGGGCTGTGATGGGGAACCCTTCAGTGGGAGCCGTGCTGTGGGATCCCCAAGGTGCTCCCAAGGACCCCCCCACCCTGTGCCACCCCATCCCCGTGCTCACACTGTGGAACTCCCAGCCCTTCTCCGTGGTGCGCATCCAACGCGACTCCTCCACCGTGGGCTGGCACTGGTCGTTCTGCACCTATGGGGACGGGAACAGCATCGGCACAGGGTCACCCCTCCGGCATCCCCAGGACCCCCACCCCGTGCTTACAAAGAACTCAAAGACGATGCTGCTGTCGGGGTAGATGTACTCAAAGGAGACGGTGCCCGACTGCTTCAGGCTGACGGCGTACATCAGCGTGGCCGTGCACTCGTCCGTGTTGGAGGCGATGTAGTCCCCCAGCGGCACCCACGTGGACCTGAGGTGGGGGCACAGAGTGGCACAGGGGCACACGAGGGGACGTGGGCTCTGCCCTGAGGCATTTTAGGGTCTGAATCCCTCTGTAGAGGGACACAGTGAAAAGGACAGTTTGGACAGGTGGGCCAGTCCCAATGGCGGCACAGGGATGCAAGATGTGACACAGGGCACGGGGACACCACGGGAACCTTGGGGACAGGTGGGTGGTGCTGTTGTTACACTTGCTGGGGAGGGAATGAGTTCAGGGCTGCGCAAAAGGGGCTGGAGAAACCCAGCCTGGGTGCCGTGGAGGATGCAGGGGACGTCCCAGCATGGGGACAACGGAGCATCCCATGCCGGCACGATGCCACCAAGCAGGGCGAGAGGCGGGTGGGCTCCTGCAGCACTGGGAGTGCAGCTGCATAATTAAAGGCAGCTGGAAGTAGGTTACATTTGCAAGCTGCACCGCCGCTGCAACGCGTGCTGCCGGCACGGCGGAGCCCGACGGCTGCCACCAGAGCTGATCAAAGGGCCGCGGTGCAAAACAAAGGCGCCGGCTCTGCTGCAGCACCGGCAAGAGCTACGGGTGGGAGATCCCTCTGCGATGGGCTGAGGGGGCTGCTGGGGGGAAGCCCTTCTTCATCGAGGCTCCCAGGGACGGGCAGGGAGGGAGCAGGGGCGATTCTCCACGCACGGACGCACTGTGACACCCCAGGGCCACTCACGTGGTGCAGTTCTCCACCACGTCGCTGAAGCCGTCGTCCAGCTCCAGGTTGGCGGCGACGTTGGCGAAGCCGTGGGGCAGCTCGTCCCACTCGTCGAATCGCACTCCGGTGCCCAGGGAGTAGGTGCCCTCAGCACAGGGCTTGCACGCCTGCGCCTTCATGTCGAGGAACTCGCCCGCCTTGCAGGAGAAAGCTGCCCACATGCAGGGGGGCCGTCAGCGCTGCCCCCTCCCACCACCGGCTCTGCCACCAGGACCCCCCCTTCCTTCCCCCCCGTCCTGTGCAGGATGCTGCCGTGCTGCTGAGCACCGCGCTCGTTCGATGCCTTTGACAGCATTACGCTGCCCCCAGGATTAGGAAAAGTCACCTTTACCCCATTGAAACCCCCCCAGCCACCCCCGCACCCCAACCTTACAGCACTCGGTGCCCTTGACGGGGTCCGGCAGCCCGGTGCAGAGTCCCGGTGTGTGGGGCACCGCCACCCTCCACCGCGCGCCCGCGCTGTCGCACGCTGTGTACTCATAGTGGTACTCAGACTGCAAGAGAGAACGCATGGAGGGCTGAGACCCCACGGGGCCGGGACCCCCAGGGAGCTCAGCTGCCACTGTGGTGATACAGGGGTTCTTTTGGCCACGGCACCGAGTGTGCAGTGGAACACAGGGACGAGGCTGATGGGGGCCGGGTTAGGGAGGGTGGCACCCCCCCATCCTGGTATCTACCCTACAGGGTGCTAAAACCCATGGTGAGCTATGAGGGCGCAGGCACAACCCCAGCAGACAGCACACCCCTTCTGTGGGCACCACAGGGACAGAGTGCCGTTGTGGTGCTCCAGGCAAACCAGCAGAGACCCCGGCCAATGGGGCAGCCGGCGCCGTTGGCCGCGGCACGCGTTGCTCATTAAACACAGTGCCGGATGCGCCGTCCTGCTGGGAGCCACCCAGGCTGTGCCGTGCGATGGGACGGGGATGGGGACAGGTGGCACCTGCAGGACGGGCGCGTGGGGCTGCAGAGCACAGCGCTGCTGATCGCAGCTCTCCGTGCTGCCATCTGTCCCCGCTCCGGGGCTCGCTCAAGGCCGGGCGGAGGCGATGCTGGGGACGGGAAGCACCCGAGGCTCTGTCCCCATGGCCACCGCGGCACCGCAGCCCCCCCGGAGCACAGAGCTGTGGCTGATGCGGGTTCGCTCGAAAACAAAGCTTTGATGTTTGCCATCAGCTCCATGCGGTGGCGGTGCGGGTTGGGGGGGAACGCGTGGAGACACCCCACCCCCCCCAGCCCCCTGCGTTGGGTGCAGTGCTGCAGGGGTGGGTCTTGGGGACGCGGGGGTCCCTGTGGAACAAAGAACAAATCCCCGGCACACAGCCTCCCACCTGCTCCGCGCTCACCAGGGTGTGCAAGGCGGTGATTCCTCCTTCCCAAACTTGGAGGAGCCGCCGGCAGATGGGAATCACCCACTGCGCGCCGCTTAAAGCCACCTCCATTGACCCCGGGGCGATGCGGACCTCGGGTGCGTCCCAGCAAGCGATAGGGATGGGGGCAGAGGACGAGGGACCTGGGAGCAGCCCCCCCACCCCCCAACCCCGGCGCCAGCATCAGCGCAGCCCATTGTTTCCAGCTCTGGGCCGTGGAACGAAATAAATAAATAAATGAATTGGATCACGGAAAAAAAAATAAATAAATAATAAATAAAAATCTTAATGGCCCAGATGAAAAGCGGCCGCAGGGCGCGGGGGGGGGGGGGGGGGGGGGGGCGGGGGAGACACACGGAGTGGGGCAGGAGAACCCCCTGAGGGTGCCTGGGTTTGCGGGCAGGCAGGGGCCAATTCGGGCTGTGAGGGATGGAGTCGGGGAGCTCGGTGACCCCCCTGGGAGAGCGCTATGCCCGCCCCCCCCCCCCCGAAGCCCCCCGCCCTATCGGGCAGGACGCTCCCTGCCGCCCCAGTGAGATAAGAGCCGCGCTGCGCTCTGTGCCAGGCTGGGGAAGGCTCGCGGCGAGGGGACGCGCGTCCCGCTGCCACCGACCGAACCCACGGCACCGGGCAGAGCTGGAGACCCCCGGGGTGGGCAGAGAGGAGGGGACGGGCGAACCCTGAGCCCCCCAGCAGCCATCCCCCAGCCCGGCGCTCTTCTCACGGTCCCCGCCGCTGTCACCGTTAACCGCTGTCCCGCCGGGGCTCGGGGTGGCGGACGCAGGGACGCAACACAGCGCAGCCCCCCACCGGGACCCCCAGGGGGGGCTGCTGACCCCGGACACGGCCCCACGGACTCGGCCCCGCGTGGGGCGCGGCAATAACCCCGCACCGCATCCCTCGGCGTGCGGCGCTCAGCTCCATCCCGACAGTACCGGCACCCCCCCGGCCCCCCTCCCCGCTCCCGGTAACCCCCCCGGTACCTCCTTGCAGACGTGCAGCCGCTCTCCAACGCGGCACAGCCCTACGGCGGCGGCGACGGCCACGCACAGAGCCAACAGAGCCCGCCGGGCCCCGGTACCGGCACCAGCACCGGCCATGGCGCAGCGGCGGCGGCAGCGCTCGGCCCCGCGCGGGCACCGGCACCGGCACCGGCCCCGCGGTCCCGCCCCCCGCCAACGGCCCGGCCCGGCCCGCGCGCGCACCTGCCGCCACCTGCACCGCCCCCGCCCCGCCCCCGGGAAGCGCCCCCGGTACCGGCACCGGAAACGGCACCGGGCATCGCGTCCCGGGGACGGCACCGGGCATCATCCCCTGGAAGCGGCACCGGCACCCGAGCATCGCCCTCGGGGGCGGCACCGGGCGTCACCCCTTTGAAACGGTTTCGGCACCGGAACCGGCGCCGGGCAGCGCTCACCGGGACCATCGCCGTGACCCCGGCACCGGGCATCACCCCGAGGGCCGCACCCCTCCCCCTCCCCCCCCCCGGGCCCCCCCGCCGCCCCCTCCCCCCCCGGCCCCGCCCCGCGGCGGTTCCTCGGCAACGCCGGCAGCACCGGACCCGCTATGGCAGGCGGCGGCGCGACCCCGCCGGCTCCCCCCCCGGCCCTGGAGCCGTCTCCACGCGGCGGCCGCGCGGTGCAGCCGCGACCACCAGTGAGTGTCCGATGCGTTCCTCCCCGCCCCGCTCCCGTTGCGGTGGCTCAGCCTCTACCTCCGTGCAGGGCCCCTCCACAGCCGGAACGGCCCCCCGAGCCGTGGCCGCGGAGCTGGGCGAGCCCCAGGAAGGAATCGGTGCATCGGATCCAGGGACGGATCGGTACGGCACCAGGACACCGGGCGGGGGGCACGGCTGCGGGTCACGGGTGGGGGGGAGGAATCAGCGGCCCGAGCTCGGGGGCAGCGGGACACGGCAGTGGGGGAGGGGCGGGGGGGGGCTGGCTGCGGCCTCACCGCGCTGAGCCGCTGCCCCCTTCCCTCCCCCCCAGAGTGCCCGCACAGCGCTGCCACCAACGGCGGTTACTCCCGGAAGGAGAACGGCGGCTTCTTCTGCCCGTAGGACCCCGCAATAAAGAGCGGAGCGGAGCCGGGCTGAGTGCGCGGCCGCGTGGTTGGGGGCGGCGGGCGGATCAGAATCGCCTGCGCTCAGGGGCCGGCCGGGGCCAGGCCTCGCCTATCTGATCGACTCATCCCGCCCGCCCGCCGCACAGCGCCCGCGGCTTCGCGGCTCCGTTCTTCTCATCTCGGCCGGGGGCCGATCGAATAAGATCAATGTGTAGGGAGAGGGCGGCACGCGCTCACACCGCTCACACAAACGCACGCACGCACACAATTCCCATCCACCCGCGCACACCCACACACAGCGCTGCAACCACACTCCGCTCGTTCTGTCCCGTCGCGCCCTTTTATACCCTCCCCCGCGCGGGGTACGCTGGGAAGCGCCGCCCGGTCACGCCCCTCCGCACAGCGCCTCCTGCCGGAGGGAGGACCGCGGTGCAGCCCCCCCTTTCCCCCCAGCCCCGGTTGCGAGCGCGGAGATGGCGGTGGATAGAGCGCGTTTATTGGCACGCCGAGCCCCGCCGCTCGGCCACCGGGGCACCAAAACGCGGCCCCGCACACGAGGAAGGGTCCTTGGCTGCTGGCCCAGCTTCCAGGACCCCATGGCCACGGGGAGGGGGCCGGCGGACACTGGAATCTTCCCATCCTTGACAAGTAATGGTGTATGGTGACACCTGGTGCTGCCCCACAGCGGGCACTGGGATGAGGTGGACTCAGAGTGGTTGCCACGGGGTCCTGGCGGGGTCACTTCACCACGAGGACGTAGAAGGCCATCAGCACACAGGAGATGGCCACGGGAACATGCAGCCGTGTGCCAATGACGGCAGCTGCAGAGTGGTAGCAGGGAGCTGTGCTGGGCAGCACCCAGCGGCTGTCCCAGCACTGTTCTGTCCCCATCCCGTGCCACCACCCCAGCTCTGCGCCCCTATCCCAGACCCCCTTGTTCCTCCATCCCGGTCCAACCATTTCTATCTCGTGCCCCAAGTCATACCCACCATGTCCCCATTCCACATCCCAGCCCACTGTACACCCCAATGCCACCACTTCCACCCCATGCCCATGCCCAGCTCGTGCCCCCAACACCACCGCCCCCATCCCATCCCCACGTCCCCATCCCGGTCTCAGTGTCCCCACCGCCCACCCAAGTCCCGCGTTCCTTATCCCAGACCTCAACACCCCACTTCCATCACATCACCCACAGCCCAGCTCCACGCTCCCATCCCGGCCCCACATCCTTTACGTCAGAACCCAACACCTCCGCTCCCATTCCGTACCGCAGCCCCCCCGCAACCCCCCCTCACCTTTGTAGCCGACGCCCCACAGGCCGCGCTTCTCAGACAGCAGCCAGGCCCTCAGGCGCGGCACCTTCCTCAGGTAGGCGCAGGTGCACACCAACAGCAGCCCGAACACCAGCAGCCCGTCCAGCGAATACACTGCGGGCGGCACAGCTGCGTCCCGCGGGGCAACGACCCCTCACCCCTCCCGGGACCCCCCCCGCCGTCCCCGCCCCCCACTCACCGTTGGTCATGGCGGCACCGGGGGCTCTCAGCGCGGCCCCGGCCCCGCGCACACTGCGCATGCGCACGGGCACTTCCGCCAACGCGACACCGGAAGTTGCGGGGAGGGCAGCCGAGCGCCGATGGAGGCGGGGAGGAGGATGGGTCGGGCTGCAAGGAGCAGGCGGCCTCAATCGAGCGCCTATCGAACGTGTTTTCCCCACCCCGCTGCTGGTCTCGCTGAGGGGTGGGGGGGGTTCGGGGTGGTCGTGGGCATAAGGAGCCCGAGGGGTGCTGGAGGCACTCAAAGGGTGCCGTGGGAGGGGCAACATCTGGGGCCGTGTCTCAGGTTGTCTGGTAACCCCATGTGATGCCATTCCAAGGAGAGCTCAGGTCCTCCTGGTGACCCTGTCTGTGGCCCCGAAGCCAACTGACCCCACGCCCTTTAGCCCTCTCCCCATTGACCCTGCTCTCACTCCAGAGGGTGATGATGCGAGCAATTCCCTCACCCTGGACATGGCCCCTTCACCCAGCCCAAGATAGTGCCAAACCCAGTGGGAGGCCTGGAGACACCAGGAAACACACGAAGAGCTGCTCTTCACCCACAGCAGGAGGTGGAGACAGGACCTGTACACAGAGATGAGGGGTTTCCCAGCCAGGTGGCGAGGTTGGTGTAACTCAGGCACTGTGCTGAGCAGTGAGAGCTGGATGGGCAGCAGCAGAGGTCAACCTTCCATCCCTCCACACATCCATCCATAGTGCAGCACAACACAGCACTGCCTTCTTTGCTCCTCACCCTTTCTCTTTCCTTTTTCCTTTCATCCTCCCTTCTCATCCTCATGTCTGTCCCTGGAGGAGGATGAGGGTCAGTGCTTCTTCCAAAGACATGGAAATCTGGGAGGGAGCAGAACTGGGAGAGAGGATGGAGCACAGGACAGGGACTGGCAGGACAGGCCCCCATGTGGGAGGGTACAGCGGTGGCCGTGCTTTGGGGATGAGATGGATTCCCACTTCTCCAGTACAGGCAATCCCCAGCCTGGGGCCACGGGCACGACAGGGACAGTGCCAAGGGCCTGGGGCCATGCTGTGCTGTGCCATATATTTTTGCGCCATCATGCAGTGTCACACTGTGCCACACCACACCACGCCGTGCCATTTTGCACCGTGCCGTGCCAAACTGTGCCAAACTGTGCCAAACTGTGCCATGCTGTGCCACGCTGTGCCACGCTCCTCCCCGCCATGCTGTGCCGAGTTGTGCTGTGCTGTGCAGGCCCTGCGGGGGCTGTGTTGCTCACCTGCTCCTCCCCTGCTCTCAAGTCAAAACACGTCCCTGCATCCCGGGCGCAGCAGAGCGGCAGTGAGCACCGTGCTGACGGCCCCGCCGTGCTGGCACCCAGGTAAGGCAGCACTTGGCCCCACTGAACCCCATGCCCATGGGGGTCCCAGCCCTTCTGCCGCCCCCTTACCGGTGCTGGCAGCCCCTTTTCTGCCTCAGTGTCCCTAATGTGCTCACCTTCCTGATAGAGAAATTGAGGCATAGCATGAGCGGGGGGGCGAAGGCAATGCAACGCCATGGCTGACCCCATCCCACCCATTGGGCCCCAAAGGATGGGAACGCCGGGCGGGGGGATACGGTCACATTTCCCACCCCCACCCCAGGAAAACGCCTGCGGCCCAGACAGGAAAGAAATAAAAACTGGGAGAGGCACCCAGTGAAACCGGCCCCGCACCCCCACCACCTTTGCCCCTGGGACGGGGCTCAGCCCGGCAGCCCAGGCTGGCAGGCACGTGTTTGCACACCTTTGTTTATCGTAGGACCTACGAGAAGGCAAAGCAAACACGGCCTCGCCTTGCTCCCTGCAGGTACCCAGCATGGAGGGCAGGGAGGAGGCGGGTGACTCCGGCAGTGCGATCATGCTGCATTTGGGTGAGCGCTGGGGGACAAAAAGGGGTTTTGCATCCCTGGGTGTGATGGGTGCCCTCTCCTGGGGTGCTTTTAGGGGCACGGCAGGAGGGACAAACTGGGGTGCTGCCGTTGGAGGGGGAGAATTTGCTGTTGGGCAATGTGGGGGATCCCCATTTAGAGAGCGGGGGGACCCTGTCTGATGTGACTCAGTGGTGTTTCACTGCGGGTTGGGTTGAGTCAATGTGAAATGGTCCCCCCTGAACCCCCCCCCTAGTGCTGGGAAATCACTGCTGTGTGCAGTGTGAGAGGGGTGAGCAGTGAGCACAGCTCCTGTGGGTCCAGCGGGAGTCCCAGCTTCCTGTCCCAGCGCAGAGCTCTGGAAAACTGGGAGCTCAGGGGGTGCGGGAGGCAGGGAGGGGGATCCGGCCACAGCTCAGCCCCTCCATCTGTCCGTCCGTCCGTCCATCCAGGCCCCGGCAGCCCCACGGCCCCGCTGAAGGAGTTGGCGCAGCGGGTGCGCAGGCAGCAGCAGGCGCTGGAGCTGTGTGTGCAGGAGCTGCGGCGGCTCTGCCTGCGTGAGGCGGTGAGAATGGGGACGGGGGGACCCTGCCAACCCCCCCCTCCCCCCCCATCTCCTGTCACCGCTCAGTGTCCCCACATCCATCCCCAGGAGCTGACGGGGACGCTGCCCCAAGAGTTCCCCCTGAAGGCCGGTGAGAAGCCCCCCAAGGTGCGACGCAGGATCGGGGCCGCCTTCAAGCTGGATGAGAGCCTGGTGCTGCGCGGGGCGGTGAGCGGGGGGGGCAGAGGCTGCACCCATGGGGCACCCATAAAGAGATGAGCAGTTATGGGGGACCCCTCACCATCCCCACCCCCACGGAGGTGCACTGCAAAGGGCGCAGGGGGTGCAGCAATGCAAAGTGCCCTGCGGTGCGCGGTGTCCTCGGGGTGGGGGGCATTTGGAGGTGCCAAGTGTCCCCTTCCCCCACCCCCAGGACCCACTGGGCGCCCTGGAGCGGGACCTGGCGCTGCAGATGCAGATTGCCAGAGCTGCACATCGCCTGTGCCGGGAGGAGAACATCAGCAAACAGCTGCGCCGCAGGAGGAAGACGGCAGCATTGAAGGAGGAGCAGAAGCTGAAGGCGCTGGAGGACACCCTGCTGGCCGAGCGCCGGGCCCTGTCTGCTGGTGGCACCGGGGGGGCTCAGGGTGAGAACGGGGGGCTTCCTTCTGGGGGGAAGGGATGTGTGTAGCTGCGGGTCCCCAGTGCTGTGCCACCTGCCCCCCAAATTGCTCCTCCGCGTGGCTGCACCCCGGTCTCCCACCCCAGGGAGCGCACCCCAAAGCTTCATCCCTGGTGGATGCACCCCAGCGCACTCTCTGCCCACGGGGAACGTACCCCGATGTGCCTCCCCTGCGAGCGAACCCCAAAACTCCATCAGTGGTGGATGCACCACCCCCACGGCTGCGCCCCAGCCCTCCTCCCTCTGTGGCTGTACCCTCGTGGATGCACCCCAGCACTGCACCGCCCCACCGTGCGCGCCCCAATGCTCTCTCCCCGGCGTTCGCACCCCAGCGTGGGCTGCACCCCGCTCCCACGGCAGAGCCTGGGCAGGGCTGCGGGGCTGGGAGCTGCCCGGAGCGCTCCTGTGAGCCGGACCAGCCGGTCCCGCCGCCGTCCCTGAGCGTGTCGGGACAGGCGGACGGGGGAGGGGAGCGGGGACGCGTTGGGTGGCGGCCGTGGGAGCGCGGTGCCCCGTGGCACACCGCTGTGTCCCCGCAGAGCTCAGCGCGTCGGATGAGAGCTCGCTGTCGGACGCTGCGTTGCTGGAGGAGGGTAAGGGCTGTGGGTACGGGGGACGCATCCCGCCCCTCCCCACCGCAACGCTCCGTCTGTCCTGCAGAGGAGGCGCAGCCGATGGGAGCCGGCACCCCGCAGCGCCTTCCGTCGCCGTGCCCGTGGCCCCGCTTGGCCCCTGAGGAGCAGAGCGAGGATCCGGGCTGCCCCTCTGCACCCCCCGGCCCCTGGAGGGAGACCAGCCTCGATGGACCCTACGGGAAGGCCAAGAGTATCAGTGCTGAGCCTGGGGATGGGGAAACCCGTGTGTCCCGGTGCTGCCCCACATCCCCACCTGCTGTCACCTCTGTCCCCATCAGCCCTGACTGCAGGGCTGGGGACGTGGCCCCGTATCGCTTCATCCCCGTCCGGAGCGTGGTGCTGTGCAGGCAGATGGGATCCAGTGCTCCCAGTACCCCAGAGCCAGCGATCCGACGTGGACAGTGCCAGTCCCTGAGGTACGGCTGTGCCGTGAGTGGGGACGGGCTGATGGCCCCCCTGGGGGGGGGGGGGGGAGATAACCCACAGGGAGGATGGGGATAATTCGTGGGGAGGATGGAGGTGGAAACTCGTAGGGTGGTTGGAGACGACTCACGGAGAGGCTGGAGATGTTAACCCACAGTGATAGAGATAACCCAAGGGGAAGATAGAGATGACCCATGGGGCGAGGAATAAGGCCATGGAAAGGAGGATGGAGCTTGCTCCATCTAGATGACCCGTGCAGAGGAGGAAGCCCCATGGAGGAGATGGAGCAAACTCCACAAGATAATGGCGACGGCCCTACGAGGAGGACTGCGATACTTCTGGGGGGACAAAGATGAAGCCAAGCCTTTGTCCCGCAGGGTGGACTCACGCTGGGAGCCGGCTGAGACGCGGGGCCGCAGCACAGCTCCCCGCCGCCGCCCCACGTACTACACAGTGACAGTGCCCACCTCCTGCCCCCCGGCCCCCAGCCCCACACCGCGCTCTGGCTCCGACGACAGCATCTCCGACGTCTCCAGCGTCTCCCATGCCACCTCCCCGGGCAGCAGCAGCCCCGACGTCTCCTTCCCACGTCCCCCAGCCCCACTGCCCTGCACTGAACCCGCTTTTTACCCCCGCGGAGCCCCCCGGCTCCTGCCACCCCCCGGCCCCCCGCTGTTCCTCTATGAGCAGGACCTGGCCCCGCTGCGCTACCAACGCCTGGTGCCCTCGCACAGCCGCATCGTGCGCACCCCCTCGCTTAAGGACTACGTGCCAGGGGGGTCCCGTGGGCTCTCCAAAGCGGCGGTGACGGAGGAGCTCAAATCGTGGCACCAACGTGCCCGGCTGCGGGGAGCCCGGCCTCATTCCCTCGACAGACAGGGGGCCTTCCGGGGACACCGCTGTGGGAACCCCCAGGATGCGCCCCTCCTCCGTGGGGCACCGCTGAGGGCTCAGGTAAGGCACGGGGATGGGGAGGGACGGGTGGGTGGGGGGCGATGGGATGGCTGTCACTTTGTGGGGACCCCCTGAGTGCTGCCCTGCGGGTGCGGGGATGACGTGAGCTGTTAGCCAGCGGTGGCTCTGGTGGGTTCCATGGGGGTCCCCTGAGTGCGAGGTCCTGAGGTGCCCCTGGGACAGGACTGGGGACCTGTAATGGACCCTGGGGCAGTGTTGGGCCTCACGAGGGTCCTTGGGATAGAGGTGGGAAGGTCATCAGGGGTGGGAGCTGGTTTTAAGGGGATCTCAGGGGGATCCCAAGGGCAGGGTTAGCGCCCCACTGCCAGCACTGGCACCTTGTAGATGTTTTGGGGCCAGAACGTGGCCATTTGGGGGAGGGTGGGGGTCAGCAGGGGGTCCCTGTAGCCACCTTTGGGGCCCTGACAGCAGTACCGATGTGGGGCAGGTTGGGACAGCCCCACCACTTCCCAGTGGGGCCACGTCCCCAGGGCACAGGGGGGTCCCAGCACCCACAGGTCCCTTCTCCCACTCAGGCAGCCCCCATCCGCATCCTGCGGCGCTCCCCGCCCGGGGTGCCTGTGCAGGTCTACGTGCCTGAGAACGGCGAGATCATCACACAGGTGTGAAGCGGTCCCCAGCCCCATGGGGCACGGCCTGGCTGGCCCAGGGCAACGGGGAAGTGGGGACACAGCCGTCATGCACCCCTGTGGGCTTGGGATGGGGGACGGGGGCACAGCTGTGGGGTGGGGTGGGCAGGGCTGGCTCCTTACACTGTCCCATGTCACCGGTGACCCCTGAAGGGTCTGCAGTGCAGATGTGTCATAATGGGGTGATCTTTTTTTGCCCAATAAATGTGGTCGTTTGGGATCTCTGTGTGGTCACTTCTATCCTCACCATCTCCTCGGGTCGTGTCCCTCTGTCCCCAGTGCCACCAACAGCACCGGGGTGAAGCTGTGCGTGGCTGAGATGATGCTGGGGAGGGGACATGGGGCAGCGATGGGAGCAGGGGAGGGGGAGAGAGTGGGGTGTGGGACCTATTCCATATAGGGGTAGGGTGTGGGGTGTGAGAGAGCAGGAGTGGGGATGGGATCAGGTGCAGGGATGGGGTACGAGGGTGGGAAGGGATAGGGATAGGGATAGGGATAGGGATAGGGATAGGGATAGGGATAGAGATAGGGATAGGGATAGGGGTAGGGATGGGGTGCGGGGAGGGGGATGGAATGGGGCGGGATGTGGGCAGGGATGCGGTGCAGGAAGGGCCGACCGCAGGGCAAGGGCAGAGCGGGGCTGCGGGAGAGCTGCGGGGAGCGGAGCCGTGCCGGGGCGCTCCGCCCGGTGGGGGCGGGCTGGGGCCGCTGCGTGCGGCGGGAGGCCGTGCCGAGGGGGGGGCACCGGGCGGCGGCCGAGTTCCACCGGCTGCGGCGTCACTGCGGGCCTGCAACGAACCGGCACCGAACCGGCACCGCCATCGGCACCGCGCGGGGTGCGCGACGGCCCCCCCCACCCCCCCGATGGGCCCCGCCGGCAGCCGCTGGCCGCTGGTCGGCACCGTGCTGATGGCCGTGGCCGCTTCGCTGGGTGAGTGAGCGACGCGGAAGGGGGAGGTGGGGGGGGGCTGTGACCGTGGGACAACCGGACGCGGTGATTCGGGAGCGCGGTGATTCGGGAGCGCGGCTCCGCTGCACCCTCGGCTGCTCCGCGGAGGGGCCGCGCGCGAAGCTCGGCTTCCCCGCCCTGCAGAGCCCCGCGGGGGGCGGCGGTGCGGGGCTGTGCGCGGTGCGGAGCCGCCGTCCGCCGCCGTGACCCCGCGGTCCCCGGACGCCGTAGCCGGGGCTATTCCGGGAGTGCGGGCGGCAGAGCCAGAAATAGAGCGGGGGAGGATGGGGCCGGGC